GCTCCCGAGTAGCTGGGACTACAGGCATGTGCCACCATGCCAGCTGATTTTTTTCTTTATATATTAGTTGGCCAATTAATTTCTTTCTATTTATAGTAGAGACGGGGGTCTCGCTCTTGCTCAGGCTGGTTTTGAACTCCTGACCTTGAGCAATCCGCCCACCTCGGCCTCCCAAGAGCTAGGATTACAGGCGTGAGCCACCGAGCCACCGCGCCCGGCCTTCCTCCTGATCTTTAAATTGAGCCTGAATTTAACTTCGAGCTAGACTATTTCACTTTTGTTATTTTGGGGGAAAAAAACCCCTCGCAGATTACTACAACTATCGCACTCAAATCTGTGATAGGAGTGTGTGTTAGTATACCTAACAGAAAACCTGAAAAGCAGGTAATGTAGTCATAGAATCGCCTGAGAGAAAAAGAGACCTAATCTCAATAAGACATCTTCAATTGAGATTAAAAAACAAACACACAAACCTGAGATGGAAAGAGTGTGATTTGCCTGAGGACACATGGCTAATTAGGGTCAAACTGACTCTCTGGCATCCCTAAGCAGAGCTCTCTGTCACCTCCCTTGTCCCATAACTATAGCAATGGAGATGGTCAACACTTGGACACCATCCAAGTTGGAGATAACACTTACGCAGAGGTAGATCTGAAGGTTCATAAGCATAGAGACGATTTGAATATCTTCCAGTGATGTCGGCTCTAACTGTCAGGGATGGGTCTGCAAAGGTAAAGCAAAAGGGAATGAAAAAAAATAAATAAATTAAAAAAATAAAAAAAAAAAAGGGAATGGAATGCTTTGTTGTCAAATAACCTTGATTTATTGACTGATGTAGCCAAAGCCTATGAATCCAAGTCCCACACGATGTGTCCCCGTCAGATCAAGCTCTGTTCCACCCACTCTGCTACCCAGCCTCTGGCTGTTAAGCTGGGAGGGTTCGACAGCTGTGCAGTGCTATTTGTGGCAAAGGTTATGAACCCTGCCGTCCTATCTATAGCAACACGAAACAGAATAATACATATTTCGAGAGTAGTGTGAGGTTTGTTTTTCTGGTGAAAACGTTCACATTCTTTACTGCAAAATGATTTTAAAACTTTGAAATGACTATATTGTAGTTGACATGTTTTACCAAGAGCAGCCTAAATAATTAGAAACGTACATCCAATGTCAATTTTCAAAATGAAAGGGTTTTTTTTTTTGTAATGAATAAAAGAATGCAAGCCCTTAAGAACAGCAAAGGTCGAATAAGTATATAGCATCCTATTTTTTTTTTTTACTTTACTGTTAATTAGCTGCATTTTAAAAATAGGGATTTGAGTCTTCTCTTATGTAGGGTTATATTCCTCTAAATTAAAATCCATTTTTGTCATGTTTTATATTTAACTTGAACTGATCTAATTAATGAGAAAAGGGGTATTTTAAAAGTAAGGTACATCCAAAAGGGCGGTTGTAGGACAGAAAAGTTTGGAAACCTTGCCTTGAGATAAGTGAGTGAAGGAACCTAAGCCGTTGTGTCCTGAAAATGAGATGAAGAGAACACCTGAGAACCATCTGCACATTTGCAAAGTCTGTCACCAGTACTGGAGTGGACAATCTCTGTCGTTTCAGAATGCTGCACTAGGTGCAATAGACATAAATTACAAGAAGCAGAGGCTCATTTATTCACCAGAATTAAGACTGACTGTACTTTTTTGTTGCTGCAGAGGAAACAAGGTTTGTATTACATTTGTAACAAATTAACATGAGAAAGGCTTTTTAAATACCCAACACTTTTCTCCCAGCCCCAATCACCTGGAGAGCTGTAACAACTATGATGCCTGCCTCAGACACGCAGAGATTCTGACTTAATTGGGTTAAGGTGTGGCCCAGATGGCTCGATTTTTAAAATCCTCCAGGTGATTCCAATGGGCAGAGTGGAGAATGAGCCGAAAGAGCAAGCTGCCTTGACGTTGGTTCTTACGACTAAAGAATTGAATGTGTTAAAACGCTCTCCAACAGAGATACTGGAACAAGAATTCCTGCACAAGGTATGACTGGATGACCTATGAATATCTTTTCAGTGTTAGGCTTCCAGATGTTCTAAATTCTGATAGAATCAAATCTATCAAATTAGTGCTCTACAGTCAGCCTTCCTCCTTTGTTTCCCCCAACACTTGTTTTTCTTTCCCCTGTTTTATACATTGAATGTAAACTTTAATGGATGACATAGGTGAACCACTCAGAGTGCGTTCTGCTATGTGATAGATTTAATTATGGATTATTCTTAAATCAGTAGGACTTTGAAAAAAGCCAAACTCAGTACGTTCATTCAACAATTCAACAGATATTGATTGAGAACCTCCCACAGGTTCATGCTGGGAATATAATGGTGAGAAGAAATAGGTACAGCCCCTGCCCCATGGGGCTTATAGTTGTGTGGGGGAAGTATTTATTATGTAATCACCCAATAAATACAAAATTATAATTGAGGAAAGGGTGATCAATAATCATGCCACAAGAGCACATAGTGGGGATTTGACCAGGTCAGTGAATGGCAGTGATGACTGGGGAGTTAAGAAGGTGACCTTAGGGGACAGAAAGAAAGCAGGAAAAGCTTCCAGCAGAAGGGAAAGCATATGTAAAGTCTCAGTGTTAGGAACAGCATGGCTCCCTAGATTCCCCCTCCCCAGCCCCTATTCCTAACTTCCCTAAAAAGAATGATCAAAAATGCCAAAAAGAAAAATCCAACACACAAATTGAAAGTTTGCCTGATTAAAAACTAAATATTGGCAGGCTTGATGTAGTCAGGAAAATTATAACTATATTTAAACAGCTAACAAGGTGTTTCTTCTCAGATGTATTGTGGCAGAAGATCAAAAGTTCAGAGTAGCAGATGAGAAAAGAAAGTCTTCTGTGGAAATAGGTAGAAGCTCACATTTTCTAATGAAAAATATGTTGTGGGGCTTTAAGGAATGTTCTACCCCTTGCCAGAGCTCAGTAATGACGCTGGCCATGGTGAAGTGGCAGGTGGGGTGGGAGGGAGGACAGGGGAAGGGGTGTAGCAACACCCGTGTTACCTTCAGACTGTGTGTCAACTCATCACTTACCGATAAACATTATCCTGGGGACGTACTGCCCGTCGGGAGAAAGATGCTTGTCAGTTGTTTCATACTAAGATTAAAAAAAAAAAAAACAACAGCTTTTAGTTTACTCTTCAGTTATTTTCAAATGTGTTAACACAAGAATGTGTCCACTACTGGGTCAGGCATCTTAAGAAATCACAAGGCACACCTCTTTCACAGGAGTTTAATAATATAAATGGGGAGGCAAGTTACATGCATGAAATAATAAATAAGACAGAGCAGCATGTGATGTGGAAAATGAGGTAGAATGCAGAATGGATGTGATAAAGAGCAAAGAAATTTGAAAAGAGAGAATTTGGAAGGAGTTATTGTGTTTGGGGAAGACATCTTGGATGAGGTAGGAGGATATCGATCAATGAAAAAAGCAGAATTCATTTCTGGAGAAATTACAAACACAGGATTTCCTTGAATATTCATTATCCATTTAGCAATTTTGATTTAGAATTTTTTATTTATTTAGCAAGGCACAGTGTTTATCCGCAATGAATGCATGCTCTATTGAGAGACAACAGATAGGAAAATGAATATTGAGGATCCAGGTGAGTGAAATGTTATGATGGAGGATGAGCAGGGGGAGTGGGAGCCCAGGGCAAGACACTAGCACAGGATTCAGGTTCCAGTAGGACTTTCTAAAGTGGGTGAGGAGGAATCCTTAAAAATGAGCAGGAGCCAGTGACATGGAAAAGAAGTCCACTCCACACAGGGCGAAGAGCACGTGTAAAGGTATGGAGAGCAAAGGCATAGCACTTTCTCTTATGACCAAGTGCTTGGGAAGGACTGAAATGCATGGGGCAGTGGTGAGAGAAGGTGCTAGAGCTGCTTCCAGAGCCAGCTTGTGGATGCCTGTGTACACCATGCCACAGTGTTTTTGTTTGTTTAGAAACAGTTAAGAACCACTGGAAGGATGTTGGAGGAGGCACCATGACCTCAGTTTGGTCTTTAAAATAATTACCCTGACAGCCATGTGGGGTTTACAGGGTTTGTCTTGTAGGCAGGAAGCCATTTAGTAATACTACAGTGAGGTAGGCAAAGTGAAAAAGGCTTACACTAAAATAGTGGTACTGAGTTTTTAGAGAAGTGACTAATAGCATGAATAGACTTTAGACGTGCAGAGCTTCTCGAATGCTTATAGCTGAGTAGGAGACTCCAATCTAGAATAGTACCACTTTAAATGAAGTAGGGAATAGAGCAAGAAGAGCTATTTGTAAAGCTTGAACCTAGATGATTAATTCAGTGTAGAACATACTGGGTTCAAGCTAATTATGTCTGGAATATGGTTGGATAGATGAGTTGGAAGTTGTTTCAAGTTTGGGTTAGATGTAGGAATTATCTGTGTGTAGGAATTGATTAGAGGCAGGTGAAGATGAAGTTGTCCACAGAGAATATAAACTATGAAAAGAGAAGTGGGTCAGGTAGAGATTCATCAAGTCACTAACATTTAAGGGTGGAAAGAGGATGAGAAGCCCATGGCAGGGAGGCGAGGAAGAACTGCTGGTACGGGTCAATCTTTAAAGAAGCCAAGCTGTGTTTGGGGAGGAACCATGGGGACATATGATTAGGTAGCATCGCCTTTGTTTACATTCAGAAGGAAAATGGAACCCATTTGTATGCAGAAATCACTTCCAAAGACGGAAAGCTTGTGCGTCAGGAGGGGTGGTGATGGTGAAGTAAGGTGAGAATGTATGAAGCTAAAGCACAAGAGGCCACGGCTGGACTGGGAAAGCCAGACAGCTATCTCCTCCAGAGAGAGCAAACAGGGATTAAAAATGGGTGCAGAGAAGCCAGGATTATAGGGGGATGGCACAGGGAGTAATTTGCAAAATACAAAAACCTTCCAGTTATTATAGCAACAGAGAAAATACCACAGAAAATTATTTTTTCAGGCGACCTAAGATTTTTAATTACTACATAAAAACAGACATGTCAGATGGATTATAAATAAAATGAAATATAATTTTCTCTCCAATCTATGAGATGGGATATTTGGAAGAGATCCTAGTTAATGCACTATGACTAAGATGTATAGGATAAATGAATCACCCATTGCAAATGATGAGCCAAGGGGGAATGTTAATGATGATGAAAAGTAAACTTACCACTAGATTAAGGAGGACAAACTGTTCTGCTAATTTCTGGATATCTTTATTTTCAGCAAACACTTTCTTTAAAGCTATAATACACAGAAAAATAATTAAGCATCCATGTTAGCATTGGTTAAACCATTGTTCTATGTTATATTTTATGTTGAATTGCATTTTAAATACAACATTCCACTTTGCTTTTTCAGCAAATGATTAGTGAAGTTAATATGTACAGCATTGACTACCTCTGCTTTTTGCATTCATTCATCCATTTATTTATTTCCAGCTTCTAATTATTGAATGGCTACTATGTGGTAAGCACTGTATTATGCACTAGGGGTAGTGCTTAGTTCATAGAGCTCAAACGCTTGGGTGGGAGACCTATCATAAACAAGTAAGCAAATAGATAATTTGAGGTGTGGATATGTTCTTTGAAGAAAACTAAAGCACGCAAGGGGTTTAAGAACTATGAGGTGGTCAGGGTAGATGTCTCTGAGAAGGTAACACTGATGTGAAGGAGTGATCCATTTTGAGGGAACTGCAAGGGCAATATCTTTGAGGTGGGAATGAGCTCAGATATTTGAGGAAGAGCGTGAAGGCCAGGCTAGAGAGAACAGAGAACGCAAGAGAAGAGTGGTAGGAAAGGAAAGATAGGTATTAGCCAGGTCATGTCCAGCCTTGTAGGTCATGGTCAGGAATTTGGATTTAATTTTACCCCTTGAACACATGAATGATAGGCTCTGACTTATGTTTAACAGCCTCACTCTGGCTTTGGTGTGAAAAACTGGCTATAGGGTGAGCAGTTAGGTGTCTGTTATAGTAGTTTAGGCAAGACCTGATCTCGGCTTGGATCAGGGTAGGAGCATGGTGGCAACAGGAAGTGGATGGGTTTGGCAAGACCAGCTACATAATATATTTGGCCCAATGCAAAATGAAAATGTAGAGCCCCTTGTTCAAGAATTATTAAGAATTTTAAGGCAGTGACAGGAGAGCATTAAACCATGTCCTGGGCCCTGTGTGACCATGTTGGTTGCGTGCCCATAAAGCTGGTGCTAGTTTTAGGATATATTTTGAAGGTAAAGCCAGTATTTACGGATGTATTGGATGTAGAATATAAAAGAAATGAAGATGTTGAGGATAAATCCTAGAGGTTGTTTTTTAAAAATATGCACAAACATGGAAATATTTGAAGTTACATTAATATATGTTTTTTATTACACAAAATACTCTTTCTTATTCAACTGTGCTAGGTTCTATGGATACAAAGATGAGTGATCTGAATCCTGGACCTAAAGCTAAAAGGCTATATAAAAATCATATTTAGAAGAATAAATTACCTTGACTGTGTGGACATTCATCCAAGTGATGAATAATCATCAAGGGTTTGTTGCTTTAAGAGACAGAGATTGGATACATTTTAGTAAGATTTCCTATATATCCAGATGTCACTAGATGGTGCTCTTGAGAGCTTTGAGAGCTCTGTGTAACCCTCATCCTTACCTTGTCTTGGATTTGTATAAAGCTTCTTCATATGTCTGAGTCCAGATGAGTTGATCACCCCAACCTAAAACAAAAGGAACCGGTATATTTAAAGCTTTTATAATTTCAGACCCAAAGCTGTTGAAAAGCAACGATAAAGACTGGAATAAATATATTCTTCATACTAAAGAAGAAGAAAAACCTCAAGGAAAGTAGAAATAATTATAAACAATGATAAATCTAGAAGGAACACATACCAAAATATGTTCAACACACAAGTTTCAGCACTAAGAGTTAGGAAATCTTTCCCAATTAAGTAGCAGTTGGAAGCCAATAAGAAGCCGACTCCTACCTCTGGAGAGGGTCTGTGGCAGTCTGGGTTGAGAGTCCTTTGTGTCCTTTTTAGCTCCAGGTTTGACTGTGGTATCTTTGGCCAGAGTGTAGGAGAGGGCCACAAGGAGCAAGAATGCTGACACTGAAATTTTTTCCATGGCTAATCTGATATGGAAAACAAAAAGTGAAAAAAAGGGAATTAGCGATCTTCAACATTTGCAGATTGCTTCACAATAGTGGAACACTACAGGAACTGAGGCTCTGTTGAGATTGAAGTAAACAGCCACCTTCCTGAGTGCAGCATAATAAGATATTTTGAGGGAGAGACTGCATGCATATTACTTTTATTATAATATATTGTTATAATTTTTCTATTTTATTATTGTAAATATCTTGTTTTGCCTAACTTACAAATTAAATTTTATCATAGGTATGTATGTATAGGAAAAAAAACATAGTACATATACAGTTTAATGCTATCTGCATTTTCAGGCATCCACTAGGGATCTTGGAATGTATCCCCTATGGATATGGGGGACCACTGGAATACACCTGACCAGCTGAACGTAGTAGCTTAGCCCAGCCTACCTTAAACCTACTCAGAACACTTATATTAGGCTACAGTTATGCAAAATAATCCAACACAAAGCCTATTTTATAATAAAATGTTGACTATCTCATGTAATTTATTAAATACTGTACTAAGAGTGAAAAACAATAGGTGTATGGGTAAATCAAAGTCCAGTTTCAACTGAGTACATATTGCTTTCACACCATCACAAAGTCACAAAATTGTTAAGCTGAAGTATCATAAGTTGGGGACTGTCTGTATATAATATACACATCTATCTATCTACATTGATATAGATATAAAGATGTAGATCTCTATAGATATGGAATTATGTACATAGATATACATCTATATAGGAATAAATATAGCTATACTTTAAGGAAATAGACAGGTAGATGTATGTAGTCTTATAGCTAAGGAAATTTACATTTAAATTTTATATTTAAAAAATATTGCCAGTTGTGGTGGTGCATGCCTGTCGTCCCAGCTACCCAAGAGGCTGAGGCCAGAGGATCGTTTGAATCCAGAGATCTGGCTGTAGTCCATTATGCCAATGGGGTGTCAGTTCCAAGTTTGGCATCAGTATGGTGATCTCCTGGGGGGTGGGGGGCCACGAGGTTGCCTAAGGAGGGGTGAACTGGCCTAGGCCTGAAACAGAGCAGGTCAAAAAATATAGTACTAGAAAGTGTCTCAGGAGTCATCTCCTCTTTTTCTACCTCCCCAATGTCTTGTTGTATAGATAAAGAATCTGAAGTTAAGAAAGATGAAAAGATTTATGAGATGGGCCCCAAAGAAAGGCTTCTGGATTTTGCTATTTTGCAGTGCTGACTCCCATCTTCCCTCCTGTAAACAATTTCCCTAAACATACACACTTCTTTAATCTTCTGTTAAAATGGAGACATTGCCATTGAAGAACGAGATAGGAATAAAATCATCCTTTATTTCATTTAGGACCTGCTATCTTTGTCACTTAACTAAAGACTTGTATCCGCGCAACTCTCTCCCTAGTGTAGCAATTACTCAAACTCTATATTTGCTCTGAATTAACTATGTATTACCTCTAAGACACATCAATGCCAAGTTTCTTCCAGTGAAACAATTCTTTGACTCTCTGTTTGGCTGGTATAGGTAGGTGGTTATGGGCATGAGCAAAAGTGCATAAAAGTATTCAGTGAGATTCCTGATAAAGAGAAATAAACCCCCTGAGTGTCTCTTTGTCAAATTCTTTTTTCCTTTTTGGTACTCCTAGGAGTACCAATCAACTCCTAGTTGATTCCTAGGAAAACCGGAAGCCAATGCGTATCAACAGGAAAGTGAATGGCAAGATAAGTTCTATGGGGGGGGGGAGGAGCTGGTAATCAATGTGAATTGTACTACAAGTCACTAAAGTTATCTAGGGCCATAACATGGAAAGCCAGAGACTTGGGATTCTGGGAAAGCCAAATACTGAAATTGCTTAAAAGGAAATATGAAACTATAGCATCTAACTCTAACATTGGTGCAGGTTTTGAATTAAGCCAAACTCTTAGGATGTGGGATGGACTCTCGTTGCTTAGTGTTTTTAAGAGGCAAGTTTTTCATGATCTGATAGCCTGGGTGGGAACCTTTGCTAAGCTTTAGTTGATTTAAAAAACGGTGCTGCTAAGTTACCAAATCCAAATGATGCCTTGTATTAAACTGACCACCTATTTACCAAGTCATAGAACGTAGCCACAAAATATCTTACTCAGAAATGACATAAGCAGAAAGCAAGACTTCACTTTCTTCATTTTCTATACTCATAAAGATGCAGAAATGCCAATGTCAATTTTTGTCTTTTAGAGTTCTGCAAAAACAACTGAAGTATACTATGAGACAATAATACCCAGCCTTGATACCCAGCCCTCTTAGTATAAAGAATTCTTTTTAATGTTAAAAGAATCAAGAACTTTTATGTAAGAACAATTATACTTTTGGAATATCATGACAAATAACTACTAATTTATCAACAAACATCTGATTTTGTATTTTATTTATAACAGCATCTATGTGTATTGGAAAAAACAAATCAGTGGCAAAACATTTTATATATTTAGCCCATCGACAATTCTTGTTGTACAGTAGCTATTAGGACCCCTTGCTATAGCTCCACAGATTGCAGATTGAAACTATTGATACAGTATTGTTTGTATTTTATGGCAGGATGACTCAAGAAAGGCTAATATAATTCCTGTTGTACAAACATCCTGCACTGGGGTGACTTTCTGAGATTCACTCTACTGAGTTTTCAAAATATGAATAGATCCTGCTCTGCAATCTTCCTGCATAAACCACCTCAAAATATAATGCTAACTGTGGAAGATATTGATAACATGGAGACGCACACATACACACACTGGGAAACCAGGACTTTTTACTGGTCACTATATCCCTGCCTTTAGCACGGAATGAACTTGCAGGACATTTCAGTGTCTGTGTATGCTTCAGGAAGGCAACCAACTCCCTGACAGTCTATCCCATGAATTTAAAGACTCAAGAGGCAACAACAGTATCTTTATACCAGACAGAGAAAAAAGTTGTTTCCTGATTTGCAAAAAAAAAAAAAAAAAATATTCCAAGTGGGCAATCTGAGCTGAGGTGTCACAGTTGAGGAGACCACGGGCCTTTGCTTTAGCCAGGGGGAGAGAAGCAAGACATTAGATGGTGACTGGAACAGAAATCCCTTGGGCCCAGTCCCAGGCTTGAAAATTCCCAGAGTTCACCTACTCTTAAGCCTCTTGTTTCCTGAAGGAGAAAGCATTACTTTGAACCAGCTCAGGAACATAACACTTTGCCAGCTCTGGCCAAAGAAAGGCCCTAGTAAGCCTTTGGTGGAAATTCCATTATTCCTTCTCCAAATCCCACTTCCTTGCCCTGGGAACCTTGCTTGCACTTCTCTGTTGATTGCCTGCAACTTTACAGAGCAGTCAGAGTCCAAAACCCATGCTAGCAAGCACACTTTCACAGCTATTATCAGGAGCCTTACCTGTACGTCCCCACCCACCTGCCTTGTGTGAGCCAGCCGGCCAGGATGCGGTCCAAGCTTCTGAGTGTGCCGGGGCAGCTCCAGTCTCTATTTATGCACCGAGGCGCACCTCAATCCCACCCACTAATCCTGTATTTACATGTTGCTAACTCGGAAACGAACCTTCCTTTTTCCCAAGCGACTGTCTTCCCTGGGTTATAGAGTTCCTTGTTTTTAAAAATAACGTTGCAAAAGGTATGCCTTTCAGTAGATAAGTTTTTAACTGTTTGTGAAAATACATTGTTAAGTGGTTTGGAAACTGTGGGCAGAGTGCCAAATCCAGGTAAGCTTTAAATGAAGACTTTTGATTTGCCTGAAGGCTGATTTGTCTTTATGTGATTGGATGGAGTTTGTGGGTTGTAGATTTTTTTTTTCTCCCCCTTGGGCAGATTGCCTTTGTTTAGTTGAGAACACACAGTGATGATTCACAATTCTAACCCTTATAGTCATATAACCTGCCAAACTCCATTATGATACAAATTATTTTCCATGATACACTTCCCTCCTCCTGTCAAAAAAAATATATACACCTTAACTACAGGTGTGAAGAAAATACAAATCAATACAATATTTCAAAGCTGAGGAAGTTATTGAAAACAGCCTACTGCTATGAGCTTGTAATAATTACCTTGCCGTTGAAGATATGCGATAACTTTCCTCCAAAGAGTTCAAAGGTATTTCACAGATATTCTCTTATTTAAAGGCAAACTTTCCTGCTAGGTGTGCAGGTAATCATTTATCCCATTTTTCAGACCCAGAAACTAAGGTCTGCAACTATTTTTTTTTTCCGCTCAAGATTATTCAATTATTCACTGAGGATTTTTAAGACTGGAACTCAAGTTTTCTGTCAGAAAATGTTAATACTGTATTTTGTTCATGAAGCTGTGTGCAGTCTTTAAAAGCTCAGAATAAAGAAATCTTTAACAACAGAAATGGAATGCAAGCCCTATAAAAATAACTTCTTAAAATTGTTTGAGTTACGATCAAAATATTTCAAGAACATTTTCCAGTGTGTATACTTTCTCAATAAAGCCTTGAATTCTGTGGGCAAAATAGTAATTCTCAAAATTTTGAAATTTCTTTTAACTCTAAATGAATTTACAAAGATAATTTCTTTAGGAGTTTGACTGAAAACAATGATTTGAGCTAAACTCTTAACACTAGCTAGATAGCTAACAAATTAGATGGCTAATTCGTTCAGCCCTTGGAATATTCAGTTCAAGTTTTTCATTTTGCAGGTGAGGAAATGAGCATGTCAAAAAAATTAATGACTTTCTGAAGGTCCCACAACCTTCAGAAAGGTTTAGGGCAAAGCTGGGACCAAAGCCCAGGTGTCCTCTAGTCCTTCATCTACTGAAACTGCAAAGTGGGTGGGATTTGGAGTAACAGGATTTCAGTCTGAGTCCTGCTTCCTGGTGCACGCTCACTGGCTAATTTCAGAGACGTCATTTAACATCTGTGAAACTTCAGTTTCCCTATCTATAAAATGGGGGTAATATTATGGGACTGTTTTAAATATTAAATGAGTTAAGGAATGAGAAAATATTTGGTGTATTAGTTTGCTAGGGCTGCCATAATAAACAAATCACAGACTGGGGTGCTTAAACAACAAAAATTTATTTTCTTACAATTCTGGAGGCTAGAAGTCCACGATCTGAGTGTTGGCAGGGTTAGTTTCTTCTGAGGCCCTCTCTCCTTGGCTTGCAGATGGTCATCTTCTCCTGGTGTCTTCACATGGTCTTCTCTCTGTACCTGTCTATGCCATAACTTACTTTGTTTTTTGTTTTTAAATAACACTAGTCATATGGGATTAGGGCCCAGCAAAATAACCTGCTTTAATTTATTTACCTCTTTAAAGACTCTGTCTCTCTATCTCTCATAGCTCACATTCTGAGGTACTGGGGATTAGGACTTCAACATCTAACATTTGAGGGGACACGAGGAAACCCCTAACACTTGATAATTGAAAACATCTCTGATTTGTTGTAATTAATTATAATGATATAACAAGTATTCTACTATAATTCTGTACCTAATCTCATGTCAGTAAAACCCAGTGTTTGTCATAGTGGCTAAGGGATGGCAAGGAAGAAGTCATTATTAGAGCATATCCTATACATGTGGTGGCTGCAGAATCTCTGTCATATTAGTCTTGGTGTGAACCCTAGCAACTAGGGTTTTGTTGGAGGTACAGGTATGCTTTGAGACAGGTGGATGAGGGGTTTTTCTTACATGCTATTAAACTTTACTTTTAATAGTCACCTGATCAATCTTTTGGATTTGCCTGATATTTTAAAAATATATTGTTGGATAATATATCTGAGTAGGATTTCTCTGAGTAGAATTTGATAATTTAATATACAGGTATAATGTTTGGTAAGGAAAACTAAGCTCAGTACCAGTGACCCTAACAATGGTCATAATGAAGTGAATATTATACCTTTGTGTTTTCCACATTTGTGTCATCATAACTTCAGAGGTTCTCATTTGAGCACATTTTAAAGTGGGGTTTTTCCTATTTTGAGTAAAATATGGAGGCTTATGAATAATAATTAGCAATTATTGAGTATCCAGTGTGCATTGTGTAGTCGACTCTTGCTTCATTTATTCACTCATTTATTCATTTCTTTGCCAAATGTTCATCAACTCTATTTATGTAGCAAATATTATGCCAGGCATTAAAAATATAAAAATGGGCCAGGCGTGGTGGCTCACGCCTGTAATCCTAGCTCTCTTGGAGGCCGAGGCGGGCGGATTGCTCGAGGTCAGAAGTTCGAAACCAGCCTGAGCAAGAGCGAGACCCCGTCTCTACTATAAATAGAAAGAAATTAATTGGCCCACTAATATATATACAAAAAATTAGCCGGGCATGGTGGCGAATGCCGTAGTCCCAGCTACTTGGGAGGCTGAGGCAGGAGGATTGCTTGAGCCAGGAGTTTGAGGTTGCTGTGAGCTAGGGTGACGCCATGGCACTCACTCTAGCCTGGGCAACAAAGCGAGACTCTGTCTCAAAAAAAAAACACACACACACAAAAAAAAATGAAAAAGACATGTTCAATTATTGAGGTAGCCAGACACATACATGGATAATTGCAATTCAGAGTGATAAGCCACACCATGGGCAAAACACATGGAAGTTTACATCGTCCCTGTTCTAAGGTTACTTATAAACTAATTGAAGAATTAAGACAGGACCACAGTAAAAAACCATCCACATGAGAATAGCATGCAGTAAGGGACATGTTAGTGGTATGGACATCAGGTGTTATCATTTTTCAGAGGAGTTGAGATTGCTATCCACTAGAATGCTCCAACTGGTTCTGGAAAGCAAGATTTCCAAATGGATGCAGTGATATAGAATTTGCAAAATATGTTTATGAGCTATTTAAGGACCAGCCTACCTGAAGTGAGATTCATCTCATAGATAATAGCTCATAGATAATCTCATAGCTCATAGATAGTAGGGTTGGAAAGGTGTTTGGGGGCTGTTTGCCTGGGACTTTTAATGCCATTCTGAATTTAGACTTTACCCTATAAAATAACTGTGGTGGGGTTAAGAGGGCAAACTGTAGATTCAGATTGGTTTGAGTGTAACACTACCTTTACCACTATTACATACGTTACTAACCCAGGCAAATTCCTTAACCTCTCTGTGCGTTAGACACTTATAAAGTGGGAAAAGTAAGACCTACTTCAGAGAATCTGTGGAAAATTATATAATAAAGTGCTTAGAATGGTACGTAGCACATAGTAAGCACTCAAAAATATTAGTTATTAATATAGGATGTATCACTTCTCTTATTATGATCATTTAGATCTCAGTTTATTAACTCCACGACAGCAGAATCTTTGTTTGATTACTCTTTGATTATAGCCTATCCCACAAGGCTTACATTTTAATGCATATTTATTGGAAAAATTAATTTGTCATCATAACAGTCTCACCAGACTTCATTATTTTCCTTTAGAAAAATAAAGAAATAGGCTCAGATGAGTGGATATAATTAGTCTAAAGCCACAAAGCTGATGAGAAAAGACCTAAAATTTCCCATAATTGATGATAATGAATGCAATATAACTTTCAGTCCATCAGGCTGCCTTCTGATGTCAGGAAGTAATGAGATAAAGCTGAGCTGCATGCTAATTCCACAAAACTGAATTATGATGAGCCTTGTGCAGAGAGGAGGGCAAATGATGTCTTGTACTCAAGGGGTCTGCCTCAAAGGAGACTTACCAAAAACATGTATCTAACTGCAGACCAAGGTATTGAATAAATAAGCTCTCTCTAAACTCTACCTTAGAGAAATATACACATAACAATTTGTGTTTTGACATATAGGAAGAATTGGTTGTCATTTGAGTTTATCTTTAAGGTCTGAAGGAGGCTTTTGCGCACAGAAATAATTGTTTCCAGCTTCCTCAGTTTTAATTGATATTCTGTGTACTGAAGCTGAAAAACTTTAGAACCTAGTTTTTTCTAAATCTACAAGTTAAAGTTTAAATTATGTAAATTGTATATATTTGTATAAAGTCTACAAAATATATTTTACTTATGAAAACAGTAAATTGGTAGAAAAATAAGTCACGTATTTTACTTGTTTCTTAGTGACTCATTTAGCTCAATTTTAATTGATTAAAGTCACCTAAAATACCTAGATTTAATTTCAATGGATTAAATTAAACAAATTAAAAATAAATTCAATAGAATAAATTCAATTTTACAAAATTAATGAGATTTCCTTAATTAGTTTAAACTACATTTATAATTTTAATACCAGTGTATCTAATTCTCTTAAGCTTTCTAAATGCCCCACAGAAGAGATTTGCAAACATAGTTAGCAAAACCTTTCTAAGCATTTTAGCAGCTCTTATTATTATCATAAATAAAAAATTACTACATAGTTAATCAAGTTTTATTAATTATTTTCATATGGCTTTACAATAAATTATTATTTTTAACAACTGGTAATCAACTTATTAAGACAGTTGACTTAAGCATCTGCAATGGTAACTTCAACCTCAACTCCTGGCTCAATATTGATGGAAGTAATAGTTTAACAATCTCATAAAGACTATGGGAGTCAAAAGGCCACTTGTGGATTCTCATCTGGAATCGATCCTATGTCTTAGAACCTTCATGAG